AATGAAACATAGTATCTACATAATTACAAACATTCTAAAGCTACCATTTATACAGACCAGTTTAGGAAAACAATCTCTAAAACAACCCTTAAATTTATCACTTACCACATGCTTTACATAATCAAATGAATATCTTACATTTTAGCTTTATAATATTCCCCAGAAAAAAAATGCAAATCATTGGATAGGTATGTATTTTTGGTTCATTTCCATAGTTTTGAATAATTTAATGTTTATTATTTTGTAAATTATAAGCTCTAGAACACTTTCATTTGAGCAAAAGCCTTTGACCATCTGAGTACCCGATGGTGACTGAGCCTACCAAACAACCATTTTTCCTTTTTCCTTCAATAATAAAACACTAAGTAATGTGCCCAGCTAGAAAACTCCATTTCCCAGCTTCCCTTGCATATGGGAGCCAATGTGAAATCAGCATTAGTCTTTGTGTAGTACTTCTAGGAAAACTCTTTGGTCTCTCACTCTTCCATTTTTTCCTACCTGGAACTCCTATACAATGGCTGGAACCCCAGGGACCACGTTATGACTTTAGGAAGTAATACATTCAGGATGGTGAAGCAGAAAGCCATAAGAAGCCAGTATGTAGTGGGCATAGTATGTAGTGGGCATAAGAAGCCAGTATGTAGTGGGCACTGCCTACCTCCATACTAGTTTTACAAGAGTTAGAAAAACTATTCTGTGTAAACCACTACTTTTTCAGTGCATTACTAAGCTATACTCAGAGACCCATTAGATTTAGTTGGGGTAAAAGTGAATAAATATAAAATTCTTAGCCTTCCCCTTTATCTACTCTTGGTTTCTTACAAATTTATCTATCATGAAGGTTTCAACTATTATCTCTGAACTCAAGAGCCCCGTTTGATTTTTAATACATCTAACCTCCGAAGTTCTAGGTATCTTCAAAATATGTCCATTTGGATGTTCCATAATTACTTCAAAATTTGAATTTTATATCTTCTCTTATTGTATTGACTCTCCTTCTCAATTTCCTTATCCTTTAATAGATTTCTCCAATCAATCAGGTTCAAGACTGGAAAGCACAGTTCCTTAATAAAAAGATGTACTAAACAGAATCTTCATGAGACACCCCAGGAAACTTCAGTGTTAATGGATACCTAACATTAAAATTTTAAATTACTACTTGAGAATCTCTTATTATTTTAAATCCTTTTGTCTCTTGCTCTACATTCACTATATCTTGATGTCCTACTATGTGACCCTTGTGACCTCAGTGAAGTACCCCTCACAGTTACTTCAACATTCCTGATTCTCTCTTGCCTTGGGGACTTTGCTCTGGTTTTTCCTTCTGGCTGGAACACCCTTCTCCCAGATCTCTTCCAAATTAACTCCTTTTCCTTCTCCGACTTTTCAATGAAGGCTAGCCTAACTAACCTATTTAAAACTGCAATTCATCCTCTAACCTTAGGCATCTTACTTTTAATTTTTTTCCATTGTAGTTACCACATAGGAAGTTCTATAATTTGCTAATTTATTGTGTTTGCTTTTTCTCTCACCTCACTAGAATGTAAGTACCTCCAAGGCAGGTATTCTGCTCACTTGTAGGTGTTCAATAGACATCTGATGAACGAGTGAATGATTTACTCAGAAATATCTCTAATTCCTCCCTTCTTATTCTCACTTCTCCACTCCAATACTAATCCTGGCCTTTACCATTTTTAGACTTTTTTTTTTTTTTTTAACCACAGAGTCTATCTATAGTATCACTCCCTCCAAACCATCCAACATACTTCCCAACTAATTTTTCTAAAATATTTCTTTGGAGATGTCACTCCCCTATAATGATTTGCCTCCTATCTGGCCCTGTTAGAGATATTAATACACTGGAGTCATGTTTAAATGAGACATTGGATTAGACAAACTCTTAGATCCTCGTCAAACATTAGATTCTATATCTAAATGACTTATCTTGGCATTCGAAATGCTCTGTAGTCCTGCAGTACCTCACCCATCTAAATTTGCATCCTACTTCCTGAGTTTCTCTCAGCGCCTGGCCAATTTCCTTAAGAACTCTCAAATAAGCCATGTTAACTTTTACCATTTTTTTAGTAGGTAACTCTCTATCTTCAACACTCTCCTGACTACTGAAATAGATGGCAATATCCTTTAGAACCTTGCTGTGACCTGCAGGCCGGCATCAGCATTGTCAGAATGAGCTTGTCAGAAATGCAACTCCAACCCCACAGCAGACTAACTGATTTAGAATCTGTAACAAAGGACACCCAGGTAGTCGTATGCACCTTAGAGTTTGAGAAGCACTGCATGAACAATCATCTCAACTCATTCCTCAATGAAGTGTTCTCTCAGTAGGCCTCATGCTCTTATGTCCTGATCTTCCACAAGACCTAGTCTCTCATAGCAAGCACAATGTTCAATTAACAACATCCCCTCATAGACTATTTATTCTTTATTTTATGTAAGTCTTTTCTCCCCAGTTTGGTTGGTTGTAAATAACTTGCACATAGGACAGTCATGCATCTGCCCAATATGGATGCAGGGAACAGAAACTCATTCGAGTAACTTCAAGGAAAAAAAGGAGCTTATTTTAAAGCTATTTGGGAACTGGGACTAGAAAACTCAGGGTCTGTCCCTCAGCATGTGTCTCTCTCTGCTTCATTGTCTCCATCCAATCTATTCTCTCTCCTATCTTTCTGTTCGCTCATAGTTTTTGCTTCCTTATAACAGCAGCATTTGCATGATCTATTCTAGCCAGCCATTATTTTCTCTACTAGCCTGTTCACCTCTGTTCCTTTTTGCTTCAACTTTCACCTTAAATCTCTGAGCTTAACCCATCCCATGAGATGATCACCACAGAAAATCTTTTTGAGCCAAACCACAGGGTGACAAGTGTCTGAGCCACCTATGGACTGTTTGCCCATGGATCAGGAGCCTTCCTGGGTCCAACTGGCTGAAGCCAAGGGGGCTGCAGTTCAGAACAAGGCCCTTTGGGCAGTGGGAACCATCAAAGGAGAATACTCCTTTGGAAAGAAAAGTGTGGGCAGAGCAGGCAATGAGCCAGGGCACCAGCCCATAGAGCCATTATTCATGTCCTAACCGCAGTCCCGAGCAAAATGTTAAGCACATAATAAATGAAAACCAACCAATATGGGAGGGAGGGGTCATTCACCAAGTGACACACACTATGCCTCTGAAAACGTGCTTGATGCACAGGGAAGACAAAGATTGAATAAGAAAGTCCTTGTTTTCTCAGAGCTTTTTAATCCAAATGTGTCACTGCACTAGTTACTTAACCTTGGGCAAGTAGCTAAACCACCTGGGTCACAGTTTCTTCAACTATCAGATGGGCCCACCCTCCGAACCTCCAGTTGTGTTGTAACATTCTATTGGGTAATCTTTGTGAAAATGCTTTGAAAAATACATATAATAAAAATAACACTGTAGCCTTTCGATAGTAATAAAATCCTCTCACATGACACAGGTTTTGCCTTGTTTTCAGGTCTTTTCTCAGTTCCCTATTTCCCACAATATATGATTCATCAATTGTTATTTGAAAGAACAATCCCAACTAATTACCACTATTTTTCACTACCTGTATGGCTCACTCAAATAGTGTTTAGGAAAATTCATTCATTTCACTCAGAAGTATATAAAAAAATAATACTTTTATACTATGCACATTTTTAACATAGTTGAATAACTGTGCATCTAAAACCGTAATGTCCTATATATTTTTTCCTGTCTCAAACCCCTGGAATCCTATTCTTATATTTTTTCATTATATTACAAATAACAGTAAGTATGTACTAAATTCCTATTTTGTACATAGGTGAGTTTTGACTCTTGTTTGGCCTTCTCCTCAGAGCAGTTTCATTTAGTATTTCCCAAGCACTGTAATCAGAAAATCATAGATATTAGAACCCAGTACTCCATTTTTAATGTGGGGACTCTGAGGAGAAAAAAAAAAATAAGACAATGGCCTGTCTCAAACCCCTGGAATCCTATTCTCCTAACTTTTTTTCTAAAAACCACTTTACTACCTGCCTTACTTTAAAAGGGTGGGGTGTAGACAAGAGTAGGAATCAATGATTATGGCAAAATAGACTAGTTCTCAAAACTATAGTCTATTTCACTCTTTGCAGGAGTCAAGTATGGGTTTACAGAAAAGAAAAACAAAAGAAAACAGAAATTGGGATCTACACAATCTTGGCTTTGACATGAACGAAACCAAGGAATATTTACTGAGTGACTGCCACATGCTAGGCAAGATGCTGAGGGCTCCTTAGGATGAAGAGTGTTTTGGCCCTCCAAAAGCTTACTTGCCCTTAGGCATCTGTTGCTCACCGCTGTCAAATGTAGCCATTCAACAGCTGGCCCAGGGTGGAGCAAAGAAAACAGCTTCCACCTTGCTGAAAAGTCAGTTCAATCAATGTGTGGACTTCAGGCAAAAGGAAAAACAAAAATGAAACCTCAGAGGAGAGCTGGGTGAGACTCCATGAAGCAGAATTGCAGCGACCTTAACGCACAGTACCCGCTGAACACCCAAATCTAATTAAGGCTCCTCGCGTTCTGAGAAGCAAGTGGCTGTAAATCAAACAATCCTGCAGCCTGGGAAAGGCAAACCCACTTCTTCGGGAGCGGTGATATGGTGGGTGCAAAAAAGGTGGGCGGCGGGTTGGGAATCTGAGTGGAGACGGGGAGGTTTGTGAGCTAGAGGGGAGGGAGGTGGGTTGGGCAACAGCGTTCGATGACACAAACCAAACAATCACACTGCGGTGTAATGCAAGTCTAAGGACTCCAGAGCTGGGAAGGGGTCTGCAAGTGCATTGGCGGTGCCGCAGGAAGAAGGGTCCGCCAGGGGCGACAGCCAGACTTGTCTGGGGGAGAAGTGGGACTGGCATCTCTTCACCGACACAAACACACACACATACGACCCTACCCCAGGCTGGTCCCGAGCCATCCCCTACCCGCTCCGCACACAATCCCGCGCTGCGGCTGCCACTCACCCTCCGCCCGGGAGCGGATCTCCGACACGGTCCTCCTCATGGTGGGCATCTTGGCGGCGGCAGCAGGTGGGTCTTCAGCCCAGACTCTGCACCTGTCAGTGCGCGGCGCCGAGCGCTCAGCAGCAGCGGGGGCCCCGCCGCCCACCCAGGGCAGCGCAGCCGCGGGCAAGGCCCCTGCACTCCAGCAGCAGCAGGAAGAGGCGACGAAGGTGGCGCCGGCCGCAGAGCGGGGCGAGCTCTCCCTGCAGCCGCGGAGGGGGCGGCTCGGCGAGAGGCGGAGCATGTATGGGAAAAAGAAAGGCGGAGCTCGGGCGCCGGCGCCGGGGGAGGGGTGACCGGGGCGCGCGCTCATTCGTTCCTGCGACAGCGGAGAGCAAGGCGGGAGAAGGGCAGGGAGAGACCCTAAAGCACCTCCTTCGCCCCACCCCTCTTCGGACCGTACCATCCCTGAGGGGGCAGGTTGTCAGCTATCAGTCTCCTCCTCACCCGGTCATCGCTCCGCCCCTTGGCTTCAGCTCATCCAGTCTTTCTGAATGCTTTTTTCGATCTCTCAAGTCTTGGCCGGAGAGGAAGGGGTTCTCTGACTCCTGCGTCCTTGAATAGCCGCTCCCGTTACCCTCTGGCTTTTAAAAAGCAGTGGAGTCAGCCGCGGTCTGGAAAGTAGGGTGGGGTCTGCGAAAGAGGCTGGAATGCCAAGGGTTAAGTCCCAGCGCCTCCAGTGGAAGGGGACCGTGAGTTCGCCGCCCGGGTGGAATTCTAGCCTACCTGCATGGCCAGCAGCCCTCTCGATCTGAGTCGTACTTGCTTTCTCGCCTGGCCCACGGGCGACAGGCTCTGAGGCCGAGTTCCCGGACTCGGGTTCTCCTCCTGCCCGGGGTGCTTGTGTGCGTCTGGGGCTGGCCTACAAGTGGGCTGGTGCATTCCCGCCTAGTGCGTGCTCCACAGCCAGACAAAACTCTGGAATTGCAATAAAATCAGCTGTTGGGGCCAGGTGGTTAAAAAAAAGGCTTTTTTTGTTTTGGGTTTTTACTTTTAGTGAAACTTTCAGGAAGCTGGGTTCTGTAGTTTTAACCGAAAAGAGAAGAGAGATACTAGTATAAAATCCATAAATATATGAAAATTTAATTTGCCCCATATTCTAGAAATCATGGTTACCTATTATTTTGTATACAAGTTATCTAAGCAAGTATAGTATTTTTAATTTATTTCTGATTTCATCTTTACGTTAGAATGTAAAGTTTTATATAGATTCTGATGAACTGCTGAAATGGAAAGAAAGTAATAAATTAGAAGCAATTTGCTTCTTCATCTTGTGCTCTTCCTCCAGCACTGGGTGGAAGAGGGCCTTATGTGGAGGCCTTTTATGTGAACTGCTTGGAGATCCTGAAGGGAGAGGTCTGGAGAGGTTTGACCAGATAGATAAGTGATTGTTCGTTCTCAAGCTTCCAAGAGAAATAAAATCAAATCTGCTAACAGCATTATCTCCACTTGTATTATTTCCTCTGCCTCCTGCAGGTAGCGCTTGCCAATCACAGTCCTGTCTTACATTAATACTGAGTCAGACATTCAATGCATATTTATGAAAAACCCACTCTACTTGACTCTGAGTCAGAGGCTGGGATTAGAACAAAAACAAAAAAAATGTATTTTTACTGTTCAGGAAACATCACAGGGTAGAGCAGGACTCAAGATGTGTTTGTTTCAGTGATGGTCATGATTTACAAGTATGGTCTTCTAAATGTAAAAAATGAACACAGCTTTTAAGAACTGTCATCACTGGCCATTTTATTCCTTTTAGATCCAGGATCTTCCTGTATAAAGGAATATATAAAGACTTTCTCAGGCGTGATAACATGAGTCTGAAAATTAAAAGGGTAAGTACAATAAGAAATAGTAAAAAATCAGCTTTAAAAGTCAGTGAACAGAAACTAGAGAAAATATAGTTCTTTTATGATTAACATTTTAGATGTATTTCTATAGAAAGCCAGAGCCATTTTTTAATTTGCAGTCAGTGCACGGTAGCATGACAGTATTTGATTTATGAGCAGTCACCTTTGTCATTCTTAATGAGCCCTCAAATGAACTTCAATTCTGCTTATTTACAAATAATAATTAGATGAAAGGAGTTCCAGAGATTACCTCTGTTTTCTGTAGAGCAGTCTGTTTCATATATGCCTCTGTGTGTGTGTGTCCCATTTAACAATCCATCCGCAAAGTCAACAACATATGTCATTCATAGAGGAATTGACAGCAGTCTTTCGTACAGAGAAGAACATTGGCTGATATGGTCCATAGCTTACTGTGTGTTCTTACCCAGATTATTCTGTCACCTTACCCATAATGGTAACTATCTCATTTCTGAAAAACCACTTGTTCCTGGTTGGTAGAAATCACACACATTTTTATTGGTTTAAAAATCTAATTGAAGTTGAGTACGGCACTAATCTGTGTGTATTTGTTTTCAGTCTTCTCAGATCTTCTCATCTTCCATTGTAAGAAGCACAGTGTGTCAGCCCCTGGCAAGGAGTTCTGGGTTCAGCAAGATGACCTTGTCACGGAATATGTAATACAATTTGGATCTCAGCAAGATCATTTAAAAACTTTCAGGTCCTATGACTCCATTGCTCATGGACTTAGAAGGAAGAAGGTTATTCAAGGACAGCTTTTCCAAGGACCAGGTTTTATCATTCGCTACAAAATGTGTGAGGTGCTGAGTCAGAGAGCTAGGTTACAAAGACACTTAATGCACATGGGAAAGTTTACCAGCAATGTAATTAGATGGCTGACAATGCCAAATGGACAAGCAGTGAAAATGGGAGAGACCAAGAACTGGGGTTGAGCTAGGTCTTTTAGAAATGAGCCATCATTCCATGTAGGGACTTACTACATGTTTGGCATATAGTAAGTACTCAATAATGATTGTTTAATGAATGTTTAGAGTAAATGGAATGATAGAAAAGCATATATGTTTGGCGGGGAGACAAAGACACCAATTTGACTGCAACAAAGTTTGGGAATCTGTACACTTTAAATGAGTGATTTGTACATTATGTGAATTATATCTTAAAGCTGTTTTTTAAAAAATGTCTTCAGAGGTGTCATGGATACATTTAGTGTGGTATTGTCATGGATTTTGACATTTTAAAAAGCAGGCTTATTGAAATATAATTGACATACAATAAACTTCATGTTTCAAGTGCAGATTTGATAGTTTGATCATTTGAAACTCCCAAGAAAATCTCTCTTTTTTTTTTTCTTGCCATATCACATTGTGTGTTATTTCAGGGAGGAAAAGTGACAATACTGAGGTAAAAAGTATTGAAAGAGATGAAAAACCCCAGAATTTTTATTAAAAATTGAGTATGGTACTAAATGACTAAATATTATGATCAAATATAATTTTTTAATTCCATGACTTTTAATTTAGAAGGCCAGACTTAAACAAGATAGTTTCCTGATTTATCGAATTAAGCTATAGCTTTCAAATATGAAATATTTGCTAATTATGTTTGGGCCTCTTGGATGATTATCCTCTGCTCAGGTTCATAATTCACTGCAGTGTTTAGCAAATTTATTGGAAAATCACAATTATTTTTTTTTCCTCTGAACCCCCCAAAATCTCTGAAACATCTGCTGCAAAGAAGATTTGTCACTGTAAATTCTTGCCAACTTTGAACTCTGAGAAAATCCATGAAATGGAGAAGGAGAATCAGTACTTAATCCAGAATTACATTTTAGTAGTAACTCCAAAGAAAAGAAGCCAAGAGGGAAGTGTCGTAAAGAAAAGATATAAAGGAAGGAAACTGACTACAGAGTCAAGGTTTGTAGAGCTGGAGACATTGAAGGTAAGAGCAAAGTGAGGTAGGGCCAAGTATGCGAAGAGAGTTAAACCTTTTGTATAGATCTGCTTGCCCATGTCAGACTTTGAATATCAGTTCCCCTTCCCTGCTTGTATTTTCTTGTGTATTTTTTTTATTGATTTGAACTCTTAAAAACTGACCTCAGCCTGTTAAAAATGAAAAGTCTTTTATCCTGTTCCTGAATCTATCCTATCCTGACTCTAGCTTGCCACATGCTTTGAGAAGTAATATACTTTGTAACTGAAACAGCTGCAATCTGTTGCCTGCATAGCCCTTCAATGTTTCCAATGTCCATTGGTTTAATCTAATACCTAGTTCTGGCTTCTGTTGGTTTCTGACTTGTTCTTGATCTAAAGTGCCTGTGTAGGAGGCAAAGGGAGATGTGTAGATTGGGAAATACCAAGAAATAAATTTGAATAAGCACACGAGAACCAAATTAGGGAAGACCATGCAAATCAGCAGAAGTGATAGAATGAATACAGAAACTGAAAGGGAGTCATTGTAGGCTCTGGGACACAGGATAAAATTGTGTTTAAAAAGATTCTTGTGGTGTAAAAATATGGAGCATGGATTAGAAGTAAAGAGACCAAGTTTCAAATGGCAAAGACCTATTTAATTAACAGAGAAAATGGTGATTTAAACAAATAAAGCTTAAATATAATTTGAGACAGGTTTAGTAATATAAGTCTCACACATAAAAGTTATGCTCATATCTTATTGGCTAGAACTTAGTCACATGGCCACACCTAGCTGAAAGGGAAGCTGATAAATTTAGCTTTTTATTCAGCTGGCAATATAACTAGGCAAAATTTGGGGTTAGATTCCCATGAGGAAGGAGAGAATGGATTTGAGGGTAGGCAGGCAGCCAAAAGAATTTTTTCATCTTAGAAATAGGCTTGATGAACCAGATTTTGAACTGCTGGAGCTTAGCAAAAAACTTATTAAATATGGTATTGAATTAAGTACAATAGAAAATAGAGGGGGAAATTAATTTAATGAGGTAGTAACTTAGTTATTAAGGTGGCTTTCTGGTTAAAAGCAGAATCTTAAGAGTGAGTAAGAGACTCCTGAAGCAATGGATAAGGTAAAAACGTAGATCTTGTATTGCAGTTTTTCTCTGCTTAAATCAAAAAAGGGAAAAGTCAAAGAATTAGAGATTTCTGAAGAGAGACGTTACCTAACAGCATCTTGGGAACATCAATCTGCTGTGCACAGACTGCAATGACATAGGGAAAAGACTGGTACTGCATTAGGAAGCTACTGTGTCTGTCTTGTCGATGAGATTGCTTTGTTCTTGAGATTGGCTTTTGGATCCTGAAAAACGTTACCCAAGACAGACTTTATTTTTAAATGTTAAATTTTGATTTATAAATTTCTATGTTAAAAACCTAGTTTTTCCTTAAGCTTTGAAATTCGACTAAATCATTTTATTCTACTTAAAAATCTAGCAGATTTTAAGAATTACTTTTAAGGAGCTAGTTGATTACAATGTTTGATTCTATTCATAAACTAACATTCCCTTAAACATTTTAAACTATGCTTAAGAAGTTGATAAAATTTTTTTAAGTCCTTTAGTCAATCTGAAAGAGCTCTCTAACTAACCATTATAACAGGATAAATTTAACTTATAAAAAAAAAGTTGTAGATTTTCTTAAATTTTCTAATACTGATAGATTTCAACATAAAATCTTTGAAATAAATTCGTTTTCCAGTCTTGTCAATTTAATTTGGGATCACAAGGATGAAATATTTTTGTAATAGGTCAAATTCTCTTAAATACATTCATTGTTTCTAAACTTACTAAAAATATTAGTACTATTGGTTTGATTTACTTAAATATATATATGTAATTCTCCAGGTTTAACAATACTAATTCTCTTGGAAGCAGTTTTGTCATTCAAACAAGTTTCGGGTTAGCATTACAAGCACTTTTGAGGTTACACTCTCAGCTGACATCTGAGACATCCGAATTCTAGAAATACAGATACCTTGAAATTCTTTTTACATCATCTTTGGCCGTTAATGGGCCTCAGTTCTCTAGATTAAAGTAATACATTTTCTAAAACTTCTCTCTTCTATAGAAGTCCACATTTGACCCATTTGATTGATTTCAACTAATCTATTACTGTGTTATTCTACTTTAATTGGCACTAGAGTGTATAGTTCTTTTTTGACATGGATTGGATTTTGTTTATCTTCCAAGGCTTTTTTCTAATTTGTTCCTTTTAGTTTTAAGGTCTTAGCTTACAGCCAAGGGACCCTGAATGAGGTAAGTGGCAACTGGAAAGGCAACAAAAGGAGAAAATGGAAAAGTGACTCTAAGATTGAGGAAGAAACATTGAACAAAGATCCCAGTGGTCAGATGGAGCTTAACGGTACCAAATCTTCACTGCATGTTTCCTCTCTCTCCTGCCTATAAGAACACACAACCTAAAATATGTATCTAAACTGAGGTATAGAAAAGCTATAATTTTAGGGCTTTGGTGGCCAGAATTTGGCAAGCAAGGACAGATAGGTCTATTGTTTGAAAAGATGGATTTTTCTTACTCCCCAACAGGCCCCTCCCTGTATTTTGAAACTGAAGGATGAATATGAAAGTAGGAGTTGGAATGCACATTAATAACAAAAAGTGCTGTTTCATTGCTGAAAGAGGGACTATGAGAAGATTATTCATTTTTAGAGAACTATCTATTATCTATCTATTCATTAGCACAAATCTATTCTGTATTGTCTCTGAAAATCATCTTTGTTCTTAGGGTGTATATGTGTGTGTGTTAAAAAAAGAGAGAGAGGTGTACAAGTTTGATACAATTGTTATTTTTTTAATTGAGCAGAAAGAATGAGGAAGCATGCTGGCGCCTCATACCAGTGGAAGGATGTCATACCAGGCAGGTCTTTAAAGTACCACTATCCATCCATTCTACAACCCTCTCTCTATTTGTTTCACTCCAGACTGAGCTATTGAATCTTTGGGAAATAGGTTACTAGGTCCAATATATTGCACTGGTTTCAATAGAATGAGGATATCCTTAAGTAGAAATGGTAGCACTGAAGGTTTAAATATCTGAGATAAAAAAAAGAATGGAGAACAGGCCAGGGAGGCAAGCCCAGAAAGTGAAGTATGCTCTTAAGAAGACTCCCTGTGAAGAAAATCAAGTGATTTTTTTTTTTTCAGGTTCATCTTGGACTATAGGAACATCATATTTACCTTGAAGTATTACATAGAAAATTTTTTTAAAGTGACATATTTCAGACTTACAAAAAAGTTAGAATCCAATAAAGAACACTTAGTTTGGTTTATCCTTCTCTTTTTCTTGCTAATATCATTTTCTGAACCATTTGAGAATAAGCTGCTGACCTGATACCCCATACTTCAGTGTGTTTTTTCTTAAAACAAGCACAATACATTGATTAAAATCAGGAATTTAATATTAAATTCCAGTGTTTAATCTGGAGAGCTTATTCAGATTTTATTTATCCCAATAATGAAAAAATTATTTCTCCAGATCATGTGTTGTGGTCAGTTGTCACATCCCTTTAAGTCTCCTTTAATTTGGACCAGTTCTTCAAATCTTCCTTTGTATTTTATGACATTGACATTTCTGAGGAGAACAGGCAAGTTGTAGAATGTCTCAGTCTAGCTTTGTCTGATGTCTCCTTGCAGCA